CACTTACTGCGACGCGTCGCTATGAATTTCGTGACAGACAGACGGACGCACACACACACACACACACACACACACACACACACTGACAGACATACTTAGTGAATTATATATAGTAGGATTTTAACTCATCGAAATGGAGCGATGGATCGACACAAACAAGTTTTTGTCATAAACTTTTTGCACTCGATCTAAGTTCTTAAATTGCAGAAGCAGCTCTAAACTTGTGATGTGCATGATCACGGAACGATGCTTCCCAGGATAGCTTGAAGTTGGTTTAAGCGATTGAAGGATGGGAAATTGGACCTTGTAAATGTGCACTGCATAGGACGCCTTCTGTTGGAAGTGTAGCGCGCTACAGCGCAAAGTCTGAACGTTGCCCAACTTCCTCCTAAACGCTGCACAATACAGTAGCGCCCAGTTTCTTTTTCACACTGGAAGGTCTAGCGTCTCAAAAACCGTTCAGAACTCCGAATCATTAATGTATCGACAATATGGACAATTGCTATGTGTTGTGAGATCCAAGATGTGCTCAAAACTTAAAATTTAATCGTAATGTTGTTCGGTATTGATGTATTTTTAATGAATCGTCGCATCATAATTTTGTGTTTCTGACTTTGGAAGTACTTTCAAAAGGCGACACAAATCCTTGATGTCTTGCTGTACTTGGGTTCTGAGATAAACCTGAAAAAAAGACATTTAGCTGATGATTCCTAAGAGAATACTTGGCTCCATGCCTCTTGAAGTATCCTAGTGCAGCGGTGTTGAACCACGCCACATTCACTCGTCGCATCCCTTTACCAACGCAGAGGTGCCGCTCTCCCATGCACCCTTGCTCGGAGAGCATGACGAGCTGCTTAGTAGTTAGTCCTTAAAACTTGTTACCCTTTCTCTACATGCTCCCACTTAGACGGCGGAACATAGCCTTCCCACTTAGCCTCCCTAGCGTGAGCTCTAACGAGACACATAGCACCGAACCATGTTCCAACCCCATAACGCTGATGCTGCAACGTGAAGTGGAAACTGTGAAATGGAAACTTACCTCTGTTTCAAACATGAAGTCGAAGATGCCATCAGTAGCGACGCTGTCCAAATCGAAAGCTCGTGACAGTCGAGGAGATAGTCGGAAGTAAGGTATCCTCAGAGAGTGAGCCCACTCACGAGCTTGACCAACAGTTACTGCGTGAGACGAAGTGCACTTAACAATGAAAGTTACCCGTCAAACTGTCTGAAGATAACTCTGAGGATAACGCTTCAGTACTATCAGGAAAAATATCGTTGCAGATGTATGCATTCCACTGTTTTCTCTGACCATTTTCTTTCCTAGTGAGTCTACCAACAATGGTAAGGCATGCCAGTGCTCTCTCCGCTTTTCCTAATGCTCTTAACATATTTCCTGTCAGTCTCATCACTTCGTGCATGCGTCCACAACATATCTACAGTCGCCATTAAGCCGCGGCGTGTCAGAGGCAGTAAATTTGAGGGTGGCAGCGATTGTGATTCCTATCGAGTATTGCCGATGCGTGACAACTATACAGGGAAGGGGCCAAAAAAAGTCACTTCGACCGAGTCACATATCAGCAAAGTTTTTGCAGCCAGACAGAGGACGTGGCGAGTACCAGGGCGGAAGATACCCAAGATGTTCCTCGATAAGCAGGAGCTGGCTCTCGCCCATCACCTTCATGTACACCAAAATATGAAGTCATCTCCAGTCGCAGCCTGACTGGAGAAGACCTTTGGAATTCATGTCACCTCCAAACAGCTGCGAAACTTCTAGTGTGGAGTCACCCATGGATAGCTACCTGGAGACCAGTACTCTCGATCTGGAAGACCTCCAACATCGAGCAGCTCCGACAACGTCGCTACGGTCTAGGACATCATCTTCACCGCAGTCGCCAAGGCGCGGGTGATGGTATGGACCTGACGTACCTGGAATGGAAAGACCGATATTTTCTTCGTGAACCCCGGACTGAAGGTGAGCGCTGGCGGTTACATCGAGCAACTCGAGAAGAATATCCTCCCTACATGTCGTCACCCGTACCTTCTTGGAAACTTTGTACTGCTACAGGATTGGGCGACACCACGTGGAATTCGAAGGGCGTTGGAAAAACTCTCGCCTACTTGGAATGGAAGGACGTTGAGTACCTGAAGAAGATGGAATATCTAAGCAGGTCACCTGACCTAAACCCTCTCAATTACCTGGTTCGGGCGGAGCTCAACAGGGTGATGGCGGACCCTACCTCGCTGAGCTCAGGCACCCACTCACGGTCGCGTGGCAGAATCTCTCGATGGCGCTCCTCCAGAAGGCTGTGGCGGAGTATCATGATAGTATTTGATATGCTCTTTAATATGGTGGTAGAATGTCCGATCAGAATTTAATAAAGTGTAATCTTATAGCGCCTCGAAAGTCGAGGAAGAAAAGTACTTTTTGGCCCCCTGTACAATCTCATAGCTCTTGTTCTGCGGGTTCCTTCCCTAAACTTCTTCGCCGCGAATGCTAGCGTGGTGAACGCTGTTTCCACACATCAAGTTAGGAGGCATGACGTTAGTCATTTTAAAGTCTGTTAGTAATGCCAGCCAAAGCAAAAACGCCTAGCTTGCGATGGCTTCTCTTCGAAACCATCGCTTCCTGTCGTTGTATGGATAAGACCAATTCAAGCTCCCAGTGTATTACTCTCCGTCAAGTAGGTCAATTTGTGGGACTGCAGCAGCTTTTTGTTATCAAGCTAAACAAGTAGTGAACGTGTAAAGAAGGGCGTACAAAAAGGGCGACGAAGCTGAAGACCAATTGTACACCTCTCCGAGGACTGTCCTTGGCGTGTGCCAGACGGATGGGTTGGCAGCTCTAGCAGCATGCCACTTTCTGCCCTTGAATTGCCTGAGAATGGGGCTGGAGGGTAATGATACCCGTGTGGCGCCTCCGTACTCCGACTGCCGCATTGCCAGCCAAGCGCTTAATCATAGCTTAATGCGCCATTTGTTTTGGCCCTTCACAACTGGCTGTTTTCTACCGTTGAGCACGTGTCTCTTTGCGGGAACGTGACATCGACGCAAGTGCTGCACCTTGAGTGTAGCGCGAGCGGAGCCGGGAGGCGAAAGCAGGGTCTGGAAACCCCGTAGCCCCTTCCAGTTCAGCTTGAGCGGAGGGCATGACACATTACTGTGCGCAAGAGCGTTTTTCTTCAAATAGTTCAATCAGCAAGCGAGGCTTGACGAAGCCTGCTTCCTGCTCGTTTCAGCCTCACTGGCTTCAGTCAAACTAACCGGTACTGCCACAAACTCTAAACTAAACTAAAAGCCTTGTTCCGCAGTCCATCAATATGAACCTTGTTGGTGAAAGGTGCAATGTAAGTGTTACGCATAAAATTGCTTGCTACATTGTATTACGAATTATTGTGCTGCCCACCGAGACCCTGCTTATTTTTAGGGTGGATAAAACAGATTTTCAAGGAGACTGGTCGATCTACTAGATTTATTCTCTCTTATATGCTAACAATGAGTGTTTCTCATCTTTTTGTAATGTTCATGAATCTTTCTTATGGAACGCTAGACCTCTAAGGGTTCTTATGGTGCTGCATGCAATTCACTGGCGACTTCATTTCCAGTCCAGGCGTTTTGCAAAAATCGGTAGCAAGTGGTAGTCCGATGATCTCCAATCCGGTCTGTGCACTCAAAAGAAACCAAACCCTTACACCTCTCGCAGGATTGCAGGAGGAGAAAGTTGGGCGTGCTCTTGGAGCACGCCCTGTAATAATGCCTTGTCCTGTGCGTCTCAGTTACAGTCATAAGTTCAGAGGAATGCTGTCCAAGTACGCAATGGGGTTCTGTCACGCATTACCGTAATCGCTGACTATTCGACGCTGCGTGAATGCCACCATTTTTGGGCCGCGGCGGCATTGCATGAGCAGCCAGTCTTTGTCTTCTTGTATGGTTTGCTGCCGCATTCTCCCGCCTGCGAATGTTCTGCTCGCCATGGTCTCCAACAACCGGTCGGATCGTCTAGTACTTCCCTTCGTCTGTTGCGCTGTTGCCATCTTGACGCAATACTGATCATGCGAAAATTCTCTGGCTGCTCTTGGAGATCGCATTCGGAAAGAAAGAGGACTCTCTGCGCTGACAAGTCGTTCTCCTTAGGTGAAGCAAGCGCGAATGGTCATGACACACATGTCCAGAAGTGCATCCCCGTAACGTACCAAAGAGCTGGACCTACATGTGTGCAGACACGTAGATCCACTTCTTTGTTAGGTTTCACATTTATTGTAGCGTAAATGCAATGGTTTTTTTTCAATCCTTTCTTGTGTATATTGTTGAGTAGCATGTCTTGAGCATATCCTTTTTCGAAGCCATACTTTTACGCTTTATGTGTTCAAATAGATACCTGATTATTGAGCGCTTTGCTAACAGTATTTCAGTCATAGTTAACAATGGGAAAAAATGAAAGGTGCTGAAACGTGTAATAGTGTGGAGTACACGCTACTTGACTTGCGCAGGTACAGGGAGTTCAGTCAAGAATTAGTGAGACGTCCTATAAGCTCAGGGAATAAGGAGCGCATCTTCCCGCGTGGCAGCTAGGTGCGAACGCAGCTTTCGCTTCTACACAGGCCAACACAGGATGCGAGCCCTGTTCTAGCCACCGATGTGCAAAAATTCACAAAAACCAGGATGCGAAGCGACAGCGAATGCCCTCTTCAGGCTCAGCAGGCTCGAAGCTTGCTACAAACACAGTGCAAGCAAAGGCACTACAATTCTGTTGTTGATTTGATTGTTGAAGTTACCTGATACAAGAAAAGCGTGATTAGGTTTTTGCCTCTACCAAATAAATTCATGAAATCTTTGCCGATAGCAAATGGACTGCTGAAAATACTTGCATTTCAAGAGAAGACGTCATCTGTGAAGCCCTGTGCATCATATAAAATGAAGACGAAAGTCTTCGTGTTGAGCGAGGGATGTCTGAAGTTTTATGACAAACCTCAAATTTACGTCAATGCTGCCAAGTTGCAAGACCGGCTCTACACCGCATCCAATGGAAATTATGCACCCAATCTGATCATTATTCTCCTACAAAGGTCACGTAGTGTCAATGGAAAATGAATGGAACTTCATGGAAACGCACAATTTCCTTGTGTCTTTCCCAGCTTTTGCGCACAATTTCCTTGTGTCTTTCCAGCTTTTGCAGCCTGCAGAAATCGGTAATTAGTGCCAGGCAGGGGTTGTTACAGAATATCGCTCCATCTGCCAGTCCATGGTAGGACTCGAAGAAAACAGGGGCTGCCCTTAAGTAGAATTTCAAAGCATGAAATACTAGGCTTATTACTAATGTAAACGAAAATCTTGGTGCTCATCGCGCATAACGAAGTAGACCCAGTAGGACGTGTCGCCCAGTTTCAGTTTCTTTTCCAACAGTAGATTATGTAAGTATTTGTTTTGCTGCCCGCTTTTGATATTGAAAGATAACAGGGTTCCTGGCGAGTAATTAGTAACATGAAGGCGTAGTCCATACCGATCGCATGAGTGGAGAAACTCAGGCATGTGAACAGAGCCAATTCCGACTTCAGGTAAAATAGGCTTTCAGTATGACCCTCTTTCAAAGGAAGTGTCCATACAGCCCCTCAAAGCAGGAGGTCAAATCTTTGCATAACCTGTGCTTCATAAGACCTCTGCTTCATAATTGGAGCCCCCCTTGAGAAGCTGGAACTTCGTCCAGGAACAGAATCTTTGATAAAGTGGTCATGCGGTTAAAGGGGAGGTGAAATCTCGGAAATCGTAATTGGATCCCAAAGCACACGACTGTGATCGCAGGATGTTTCTTCAGCTGGTTCATTTCAACGGCTCCATATTCCCCTCTATCTTCAGCGAATTTTGATGCAGCAAGCAGAACTCCGTTCTATTGCATCGCTCATTACCCCGACGCCATCACTTGTTACTAAAAAAGCATGAGAAGGCTTACGATGTCGCTCTGGCAGCCTTCCATGCTAGTATCCTGCTAGGATTCATATATCCGTATTTTTCGTATTCACGTGGAGCTATTCTTGGCGCATAATTGCGAAACAAAACGAGCTGAGGTGGAGCGGCTTTGACCTTCGCAGCTGTCACCATGACCCTGAAAAGAGATTTAGTTCAGTTGAAACAGTTGTTGTTCAGTTTAAGTTCGCCCTATATGCAATTTTTGCGTGCACACATCTTATCTCTAAAACGTTTTGAGGAGTGTGCAGGACACATAACCCATAAGTGGAACTTTGCCAAAACGAAAGGTCAGACATACCCAGAGTAGGCAAAACATTGTCCCGGTTTCGTGAACTTGTTAAGAGTAGGTGGGTTATAAGACAGGTCTCGTCCATCCAATGTGACGCTTGGGTAGCATTAGGAAGCAAGATGATCCTAGGGCTGTGCGAAGACGAAACTTCTGTGTAAAGCTTACTTCAGAGACTTGGAGGATAGGGAAGAGGGTGTCACAAGAACGTGTATGGCTAGCGACATCCAGCTCTTCACCCACCTTCGAAGCAGGCAAAGACAACATTTGGCGGAAAACGGGCTAACACTGCGCCAAACGCCGCCCCCTGCCGACACGCCTCAGTTTCTGGAGAGGCTTTACATGCTGTCTACGTCGATGCCCAAACCGACGCCTGCTTGCAACTCCGTGGACACTCCTTCAAGGCCAGCGAATGAACTGCAACCATCTCCTTGGATAACCGTGACTAGTTAGTGGTATCCCCTGCTATTTTTAGGGAAGCAAACGAGAAACAGGAAGTACGATTTACGTCACCTCTGGCACGTGATTTGTCCCATTGTAGTGGACGAGCCGAAAGCTTGTCTGAGAACGTCTTCAAGTCCTTTCGAATCGTGTTTAGGAAGTATCCTAGTGTTGCCACAAAACGTTATATAACGTGCACTCAAGAATATCCGACGCGTTTGCTCAATACTCAGACCTGTACGGCACACAATAATCGATTATTATTGAAATTAAAATATACTTGGCCAAGAGCCTCACTGAACAGTACCTAAACCCATCGCAATGGAGAAAATACCTCCACAACTAGTTCCTCCCAACCAATGGACATGATTCGTTCAGACGATCACCAAGTTCGTGTTCTATTGCATCAAGTAAATCAAAAAAAAACAAACAAAACCCGATTATATGCTCGCACCATAAGAAGCTGGCGATTTTTAGTATTCCCGTCGCCTAGGAAAAAAAATCACAAGTTTGCCGAGAAAAGGGTCCCATGTGAAACGCGCCTTCGCCACAGGGAGAAATCCACTGTGGGGATGGGGACAAATAGAGGTTGGATGCAGCTGTCCATAGTTAGTTACTTCAACTACACATGGAAACGAGGCTGAAGGGTAGTGAACCCTGATGTCGTTTGGTACTATGCCTATGAGGTGCAGTGCTCATATCGGTGGGAAATCCTGCAGCGAACCTAAGATCGGGTGTAGACAACAACCAGACGTGGGAAGGACGCAGACAAATAGCGCGTCTGGCTATACACTCGAACGGACAAAGTGGCGCGCTGGTGCGGCAGTGAACCCACTCACTGGCAAAGCAGGCAGGATTCTAGGAGGTGAGTGGACGCTAAAGTATTAGGTTGTCGCATAAGTTCTTATACACGACTTTTTTGTAAATATCTCAAAAACGAACCAGCCTGGAGATTAGAGGTATGCACCATCACCATTCACTACTCGACGCCAGCGCTCAGGCAGCTTGTCGATTCCATCCTTCCAGAACGACGGAGGCTGGGACTTGAAGAAGTCGTCGAGCGCCTTTCTGACCTGATCCTTTGTTTCGAACTTTTTTCCGTCCAGATAGCGCTGCAGGTGGCTGAACAGCCAGTAGTCAGAAGGAGCGAGGTCAGGGCTGTAGGGAGGGTGGGCGACCATCAGCCATCCGTACTTCTCCAGCTCGGCCTGGGTCGCCTTTGCAGTGTGAGGTCGGGCGTTGTCATGGTGGAAGTAGCATTCCTTCCACGAGTACGGTCGACGTGATCTTTCAATTTCCGCAGCTGGGTCACGTATGTGGAAGCGTCAATCGTCTGTCCCTTCTCCAGCAGCTCCCAGTACTCCATGCCTCTTCTGGACCACCAACAGGACAGGAGAACCTTTTTGGGGTGAAGGTCGGCGGTGGCTTCTGGCTGTTCTCCTTTGTCGACCCACTGCCGCTTCCTCACAGGGATCCTCCACGGTGGAACGTAGTACTTCCAAATCCAACTCCATCGGCCGACCCGACCTCGGAGCATCTTCGAGAGAAAAGTCTCCTTTCTTGAATTTGGCGAACCAATTCTTGCATGTCATGTAAGAGATGACGTCCTCACCGTATGTATCCACCAGCTTGGTATGGGCTTCCTTTGCATTCCAGCCGAAATCGTGGAGCAAAACCAAACAGTGGCGCAGGTACGTTTTGTCACAGTGCAAATTGTGCGACATTGTGTACTGCAAATGCAAGCTCGGTGAGTGATAGCTAGTGTAATGAAAGAGTATAATGTACACGTCACGCACACGTGATGACGTAATACCAACATCCATGCGAACGAAATAGGAGAGGATCAAACACGTGTATAAGAACTTATGCGACAACCTAATATTTGGGGGAGGGAGGCGGAGGGACCAGAGGCTCGCGGCGAGCGATGAGTTATCTGATCTTCTGTGTTCCCTCTTCGGCGAAATAATATCTCGCATAGGTGGGTAAAGCCGGGGAGCACTTCGCTGAGGTAACTTTACAGTAGTATGTTTAGGACATAAATATAACACCGCCCTAGGGTGCTGTTTTCGGAAAATAAGACACTGGACGCTGAAAAGTCCGAATAAATATTAAACTCTGAAAAAGTTTCGCCTTAGTCTAAAAGGGAAGGAAATCCGACTTAGGTGAACTCACTGGTCTCTGTGACACTGATAAACTGGATGCTCCGCAGAATCAAGAAACCCACTCCAATAGCTCCATATCAGGTCGTAGAAATTGAACTTCAAGCGGTTTCCTCACAGCAAAATCACAAGTTAATACTGGTTTATTTATTCACTAGAACTCAAGATGAATGACCAGTATTCTTTTCTGGCCCTCAAGAAGGCAGTTGGGTTAGGCATGCTCATCGGATGGGATACTGGATCGAGATGAGCCGCCATAGTTTGTAGAGCAGATGTTCGCTGTCGTATTGCCACTTCCAGAGAACTTCGATGAAATGGTCATTTCAAAGGTTGCCTCAGAGACTATGCCATCGTCGAATCTTCTCCTTCAGATGTGACCATATGCACTCGATGCGCTGGGTGTGGACTCGCGTGGCCGGATCAACGAAGTAGGCGCCGTGGTTGACCACTTCGTGGATATATCCTAGATTGACGAGGTGTTGTATCCGCCTCACATGACGGTTCCAACGGTGCCTCAAGACGAACGTATTTCGATTATCGCCTCCATAGTAGCAGCGTAGCGCTTGTAGACGATTTCTACAAAGAAGAGCTTCATACCGTCCTAGATCCCATCGACGAGCCCAATCTTTCCGAAAGATGCGGCCACTTTGTACTTGCGACGAACGTTGTTGGTCTCGTCCGCTTGTACGGTGGTATTCGCTCCCCCAACTGTACGACATTGTTAGTGTAGAATTGGACGAGCACATCTCGAAACCACTGAATGCACTGCAGGATTGCGTTCTTCTGCACCTCAAGTGTTCGAGTGGCTCCTTCCCCGTTTTGGGATTGTAGAAATAGGTAGCTGACCTGGGAGATCTTCTCTCGATCACCACGTAAGGACTAGAAAAGTGTTCCTTTGAGGTAACCGATCTTCCTCTCCACACCAGGTCGCCAGCACGAGCGAGAGGTGCACTCGAACTTCCACCTTGTATCCCTCCCTGCTTGGTGAACTTCCTCGGCTCGGATTTCCACAGTTTCGGCATGGGCGACTCTTCCACAGAAGCCCTCGAGCGGCGAGCTAGTTGTCGAACTCTTTCCTCATTGCAGCCAAATGTGGTCAAGTTGAAATGAGCGTGAAATCACGCAGGGTCAGAAAATTAGCAGCAGAAGCCATGCTTCGCAAGCAGAATAACTTCGTGATTGGCATATGCACTTCACCTTTCTATTCGATGTCCATTTATTTCCCGCTTTACATGCCAGGAACCATCTGTGGGCTGTTTCAAACACATTTCCGGCGAATCTCTGTTTTACCCTGTTTTGGCTGCTAGTATCCCGCTTGACTTCAGCAGGAACCATCTATGGGTCTTTCGAAAACTGAGTCATCGCTCGCCGCGAGCCGCGTGGTTCCCCAAAACATTCAAACACGGCGAGTGCTCAATTCACTTCCACTGCTTGCGCCCGTTTGTTTAAATTTCGGGAGTTTCTGCTCTTGCTTTTACTGAGCTGATACCAAACACCCCGACGGACCAGTTTTGCCTAGACTGGCAGTAAACCGACTTGTAAAAACTCCGACTTCATTACAGTATAATAATATACAGTATAATAATGAAATATCTCACGGATGACTGCAATATAGCTTTGATTCCTCCTCCATCAAGACTCATCATGACTTTATAATTTTTGTTAGGATTTCTGTAGATGACATTATTATTATCATTATTATTTATTCTTACCAGTCTGGCTGACGCGCAGTTCTGCGCGTGGTTAAACCTTTGTTACTGATAACTGACAGGATTCCTGTGCTGAGCACTAACACTTACCCTAATTCCTATGTCAAAACGGCCCATTTCATCATGTTTCTCCCTTTTAATGAACATTTGCCGATGTTAGGTCTTATCATATTTCTTGAATCACCATTTGTTGGAAATCGGACAGCATAGCGGTTGGAAGGATTCCGATATTAAAAATATCGAAATCACAGTGGCTCTTATCATTCCTCACTGGGCAACAACTCCATACATCCTTTTTCGGGGAACTCGAGCGTTTAGCGGTGGAAGCAATTCCGACCGCTAAACTGAGGGATTTTACTGATAGGAAAACATCTTGACTTACTAAGCCTTCGCCCATTGATTCTTTGGTTACGGTGATGTGAGCAGATACGGACTCCCAAAAGCCCTTGTAGGACAATGACAGGATTTATCTTCCACCTTTAATGTTCCCTAAGCACCTCTGAATTACTTGCTGGAGCAGTTCCCAGTGTTGCTACAACTCTGCTTTGAATTTTCCTGGCTATCTCATCAGCTGTTATCAATTCCTCCACCCGCCAATAATGTTCCCACCCTGCCCCTGTCTTACTTCTTAGAACCAATGTCTCGTTGTCGCTGTGGCCGGTGCTATGAATTTGATGACCCTCGCTTTCTAAGACCCCTTATGGTATCTTATCAGCTCTTATCACTTCCTGCCACCCACCACTAATGTTTCCATCCTGCCCCCTATTTTATTTCTTGGAACCAACACCCTACCATCACTGTGACGCACGTTATGGATTTTGTGACCCTCCCCTTCTAAGGCTCCTTTTGTTATCTTATCAGCTGTTATCACGTCCTGCCACCCACCAATAATGTTTCCATCCTGCCCCCTATCTTACTTCTTGGAACCAACGTCCCATCGTCGCTGTGACGCACGTTATGGATTTTGTGACCCTCCCCTTCTAAGGCTCCTTTTGTTATCTTATCAGCTGTTATCACGTCCTGCCACCCACCAATAATGTTTCCATCCTGCCCCCTATCTTAGTTCTTGGAACCAACGTCCCATCGTCGCTGTGACGCGCGTTAAGAAGTTGGCGACCCTCCCCTTCTAAGGCCCCTTATGTTATCTTATCAGCTGTTATCACTTCTTGCCCCCTACCAATAGTGTTCCTGCACGACCCCCTACATCACTTATCAGTTTGAGCGCACAGTCGCTGTTTTGAAGGAAGTTATGAATTTCCGGTCAAACACACATACAGACACACAACATTCACACACACACACACACCAACAGACAAACTTAGCGGATTATATATAGTAGGATTATTATGAGATCTTGTGTCGGTT